AGTGGCTGTCTGCTGCTGCTCCAGAGCAGAAGTGGCTGTCTGCTGCTGCTCCAGAGCAGAAGTGGCTGTCTGCTGCTGCTCCAGAGCAGAAGTGGCTGTCTGCTGCTGCTCCAGAGCAGAAGTGGCTGTCTGCTGCTGCTCCAGAGCAGAAGTGGCTGTCTGCTGCTGCTCCAGAGCAGAAGTGGCTGTCTGCTGCTGCTCCAGAGCAGAAGTGGCTGTCTGCTGCTGCTCCAGAGCAGAAGTGGCTGTCTGCTGCTGCTCCAGAGCAGAAGTGGCTGTCTGCTGCTGCTCCAGAGCAGAAGTGGCTGTCTGCTGCTGCTCCAGAGCAGAAGTGGCTGTCTGCTGCTGCTCCAGAGCAGAAGTGGCTGTCTGCTGCTGCTCCAGAGCAGAAGTGGCTGTCTGCTGCTGCTCCAGAGCAGAAGTGGCTGTCTGCTGCTGCTCCAGAGCAGAAGTGGCTGTCTGCTGCTGCTCCAGAGCAGAAGTGGCTGTCTGCTGCTGCTCCAGAGCAGAAGTGGCTGTCTGCTGCTGCTCCAGAGCAGAAGTGGCTGTCTGCTGCTGCTCCAGAGCAGAAGTGGCTGTCTGCTGCTGCTCCAGAGCAGAAGTGGCTGTCTGCTGCTGCTCCAGAGCAGAAGTGGCTGTCTGCTGCTGCTCCAGAGCAGAAGTGGCTGTCTGCTGCTGCTCCAGAGCAGAAGTGGCTGTCTGCTGCTGCTCCAGAGCAGAAGTGGCTGTCTGCTGCTGCTCCAGAGCAGAAGTGGCTGTCTGCTGCTGCTCCAGAGCAGAAGTGGCTGTCTGCTGCTGCTCCAGAGCAGAAGTGGCTGTCTGCTGCTGCTCCAGAGCAGAAGTGGCTGTCTGCTGCTGCTCCAGAGCAGAAGTGGCTGTCTGCTGCTGCTCCAGAGCAGAAGTGGCTGTCTGCTGCTGCTCCAGAGCAGAAGTGGCTGTCTGCTGCTGCTCCAGAGCAGAAGTGGCTGTCTGCTGCTGCTCCAGAGCAGAAGTGGCTGTCTGCTGCTGCTCCAGAGCAGAAGTGGCTGTCTGCTGCTGCTCCAGAGCAGAAGTGGCTGTCTGCTGCTGCTCCAGAGCAGAAGTGGCTGTCTGCTGCTGCTCCAGAGCAGAAGTGGCTGTCTGCTGCTGCTCCAGAGCAGAAGTGGCTGTCTGCTGCTGCTCCAGAGCAGAAGTGGCTGTCTGCTGCTGCTCCAGAGCAGAAGTGGCTGTCTGCTGCTGCTCCAGAGCAGAAGTGGCTGTCTGCTGCTGCTCCAGAGCAGAAGTGGCTGTCTGCTGCTGCTCCAGAGCAGAAGTGGCTGTCTGCTGCTGCTCCAGAGCAGAAGTGGCTGTCTGCTGCTGCTCCAGAGCAGAAGTGGCTGTCTGCTGCTGCTCCAGAGCAGAAGTGGCTGTCTGCTGCTGCTCCAGAGCAGAAGTGGCTGTCTGCTGCTGCTCCAGAGCAGAAGTGGCTGTCTGCTGCTGCTCCAGAGCAGAAGTGGCTGTCTGCTGCTGCTCCAGAGCAGAAGTGGCTGTCTGCTGCTGCTCCAGAGCAGAAGTGGCTGTCTGCTGCTGCTCCAGAGCAGAAGTGGCTGTCTGCTGCTGCTCCAGAGCAGAAGTGGCTGTCTGCTGCTGCTCCAGAGCAGAAGTGGCTGTCTGCTGCTGCTCCAGAGCAGAAGTGGCTGTCTGCTGCTGCTCCAGAGCAGAAGTGGCTGTCTGCTGCTGCTCCAGAGCAGAAGTGGCTGTCTGCTGCTGCTCCAGAGCAGAAGTGGCTGTCTGCTGCTGCTCCAGAGCAGAAGTGGCTGTCTGCTGCTGCTCCAGAGCAGAAGTGGCTGTCTGCTGCTGCTCCAGAGCAGAAGTGGCTGTCTGCTGCTGCTCCAGAGCAGAAGTGGCTGTCTGCTGCTGCTCCAGAGCAGAAGTGGCTGTCTGCTGCTGCTCCAGAGCAGAAGTGGCTGTCTGCTGCTGCTCCAGAGCAGAAGTGGCTGTCTGCTGCTGCTCCAGAGCAGAAGTGGCTGTCTGCTGCTGCTCCAGAGCAGAAGTGGCTGTCTGCTGCTGCTCCAGAGCAGAAGTGGCTGTCTGCTGCTGCTCCAGAGCAGAAGTGGCTGTCTGCTGCTGCTCCAGAGCAGAAGTGGCTGTCTGCTGCTGCTCCAGAGCAGAAGTGGCTGTCTGCTGCTGCTCCAGAGCAGAAGTGGCTGTCTGCTGCTGCTCCAGAGCAGAAGTGGCTGTCTGCTGCTGCTCCAGAGCAGAAGTGGCTGTCTGCTGCTGCTCCAGAGCAGAAGTGGCTGTCTGCTGCTGCTCCAGAGCAGAAGTGGCTGTCTGCTGCTGCTCCAGAGCAGAAGTGGCTGTCTGCTGCTGCTCCAGAGCAGAAGTGGCTGTCTGCTGCTGCTCCAGAGCAGAAGTGGCTGTCTGCTGCTGCTCCAGAGCAGAAGTGGCTGTCTGCTGCTGCTCCAGAGCAGAAGTGGCTGTCTGCTGCTGCTCCAGAGCAGAAGTGGCTGTCTGCTGCTGCTCCAGAGCAGAAGTGGCTGTCTGCTGCTGCTCCAGAGCAGAAGTGGCTGTCTGCTGCTGCTCCAGAGCAGAAGTGGCTGTCTGCTGCTGCTCCAGAGCAGAAGTGGCTGTCTGCTGCTGCTCCAGAGCAGAAGTGGCTGTCTGCTGCTGCTCCAGAGCAGAAGTGGCTGTCTGCTGCTGCTCCAGAGCAGAAGTGGCTGTCTGCTGCTGCTCCAGAGCAGAAGTGGCTGTCTGCTGCTGCTCCAGAGCAGAAGTGGCTGTCTGCTGCTGCTCCAGAGCAGAAGTGGCTGTCTGCTGCTGCTCCAGAGCAGAAGTGGCTGTCTGCTGCTGCTCCAGAGCAGAAGTGGCTGTCTGCTGCTGCTCCAGAGCAGAAGTGGCTGTCTGCTGCTGCTCCAGAGCAGAAGTGGCTGTCTGCTGCTGCTCCAGAGCAGAAGTGGCTGTCTGCTGCTGCTCCAGAGCAGAAGTGGCTGTCTGCTGCTGCTCCAGAGCAGAAGTGGCTGTCTGCTGCTGCTCCAGAGCAGAAGTGGCTGTCTGCTGCTGCTCCAGAGCAGAAGTGGCTGTCTGCTGCTGCTCCAGAGCAGAAGTGGCTGTCTGCTGCTGCTCCAGAGCAGAAGTGGCTGTCTGCTGCTGCTCCAGAGCAGAAGTGGCTGTCTGCTGCTGCTCCAGAGCAGAAGTGGCTGTCTGCTGCTGCTCCAGAGCAGAAGTGGCTGTCTGCTGCTGCTCCAGAGCAGAAGTGGCTGTCTGCTGCTGCTCCAGAGCAGAAGTGGCTGTCTGCTGCTGCTCCAGAGCAGAAGTGGCTGTCTGCTGCTGCTCCAGAGCAGAAGTGGCTGTCTGCTGCTGCTCCAGAGCAGAAGTGGCTGTCTGCTGCTGCTCCAGAGCAGAAGTGGCTGTCTGCTGCTGCTCCAGAGCAGAAGTGGCTGTCTGCTGCTGCTCCAGAGCAGAAGTGGCTGTCTGCTGCTGCTCCAGAGCAGAAGTGGCTGTCTGCTGCTGCTCCAGAGCAGAAGTGGCTGTCTGCTGCTGCTCCAGAGCAGAAGTGGCTGTCTGCTGCTGCTCCAGAGCAGAAGTGGCTGTCTGCTGCTGCTCCAGAGCAGAAGTGGCTGTCTGCTGCTGCTCCAGAGCAGAAGTGGCTGTCTGCTGCTGCTCCAGAGCAGAAGTGGCTGTCTGCTGCTGCTCCAGAGCAGAAGTGGCTGTCTGCTGCTGCTCCAGAGCAGAAGTGGCTGTCTGCTGCTGCTCCAGAGCAGAAGTGGCTGTCTGCTGCTGCTCCAGAGCAGAAGTGGCTGTCTGCTGCTGCTCCAGAGCAGAAGTGGCTGTCTGCTGCTGCTCCAGAGCAGAAGTGGCTGTCTGCTGCAGCTCCAGAGCAGAAGTGGCTGTCTGCTGCTGCTCCAGAGCAGAAGTGGCTGTCTGCTGCTGCTCCAGAGCAGAAGTGGCTGTCTGCTGCTGCTCCAGAGCAGAAGTGGCTGTCTGCTGCTGCTCCAGAGCAGAAGTGGCTGTCTGCTGCTGCTCCAGAGCAGAAGTGGCTGTCTGCTGCTGCTCCAGAGCAGAAGTGGCTGTCTGCTGCTGCTCCAGAGCAGAAGTGGCTGTCTGCTGCTGCTCCAGAGCAGAAGTGGCTGTCTGCTGCTGCTCCAGAGCAGAAGTGGCTGTCTGCTGCTGCTCCAGAGCAGAAGTGGCTGTCTGCTGCTGCTCCAGAGCATGGTCAAGGTTTTAGGGGAAGCTAAGTGTGTTTAGGGAACAGGTGACAGGATGCTTGCAGCTGAACAGAATCATAAAAGGCAGCCAGGGTTAGGCTAACTAAATGTGTCTCTATGGGGGGTTGAATGGGGTTCCAACTTCCAAATGCCAATGTACCTGTAGGTTTCACGGTTCAGTGTTGCGGTGTTTGGGGTTTAGGATGCCAAGTAGGGGATTGCAGTCGAGTGGAGGAGGGAGAGGGACCCACTCTTTGACGGTCGTTAGGTTTATCCCAGTGTTATTAGTAGGAGCTGATTTGTGTGAGCATATTCCTGCTGCAGTTCAGTCCCCTGAATACACAGTACATTTTGTTGCAAAGTGATACAATACAACAGCTACAGTCTGCTGCTGCTATCTTTTGTCCTCTCATGAAATCAAACTCATATGGAATTGTATGACATTGTCCAAGCGCGTAGCGCAGTGTACATTGCGATGCATTGATACTTGTGGTACCAGAGTACTTGCAGCAGCAACAAGTTGACTACTGGCTCAACTCAAGAGTGTACCCTGTACTACTCGTGGTGCATGTGTACGTACTTGCAGCAGCAACAGCGTCGCAGCATGGTTTGCAGTCACGGCTGCCACTCATTTGCTCAACGCTGTGGCTACAGTTTTTGAGATGCCTAAGAAACAGCTCACTCTCCGAGCTTCGTATCATCCTACTCAGACCCAGTGGTGCAGAATCTACTACTGCCACTTGCACTCCTGCTGCTCCCCTCCGCTGCTGCTTGCCTCTGCGGCTACAGTTTTTGAGGTGCCTAAGAAACAGCTCACTCTCCGAGCTTCGTATCGTCCTACTCAGATCCAGCGGTGGAGAATCTACTACTGCCACTTGCACTCCTGCTGCTCCCCCCCGCTGCTGCTGCCAGGCTTGCACATTTGCTGCTACAAGAAAGTAATGTTTGAGGGTTGAAGGAAAGAAACAAGAGAGAAGAGGGATGCAGCACCGCCTGAGTAATAGCGGATCTAATTCAGGAGAAGAGAGAGAGAGTAGATGCATACGGGTATGTCGTGTTGGAGAAAGGGGTTCAAGCGAATTATAGCTTGATTTTTAGACGTCTCAAGCATCACCACCTGAGTCTTGAGTAATAGCCAATGTAATGTTGTAGAACAGGGTGAGGCGAATGATAGTAGGTTCTGAAGAGTGGATGACACGAAACAGGCTTGTTGTCATCCCCTCATGCACAGTCACACACCTTGATGTTACTTTTGGGAATTCTCAAAAGTAACGTCAGGCGAATGATAGTAGGTGCTGAAGAGTGGATGACACAGAACAGGCTTGTTATTATCCCCTCATATAGCCACACACGTTGTACAGTCACATTGCTGGAGAGTGGAACACCTGCAACATTCTTTATTTTCACAGACAGACACGGCCACATATGGTCTAGAGTCACACTCACCTGTGTGGGTTTGACCCTTTTTGCTGTCAAAGAGTCAGTTCTAGTGAGCGAGAAGATGTAGCCTTCCTGCACAGTCACATATGGTCTAGTCTCGCACTCACCTGTGTGGGTTTGTCCCTCTCTGCTGTGAAAGTGTTGTCTCCAGTGGACGACAAGATGTAGCCTTCCAGCACAGTCACACTCGCATTAACACCAGTTGCATGTGCAACCAAAACATTCGCAACAGCTGCACTCACCTGTGTGGGTTTGTCCCTCTCTGCTGTGAAAGTGTTGTCTCCAGTGGACGACAAGATGTAGCCTTCCAGCACAGTCACACTCGCATTAACACCAGTTGCATGTGCAACCAAAACATTCGCAACAGCTGCACTCACCTGTGTGGGTTTGTCCCTCTCTGCTGTGAAAGTGTTGTCTCCAGTGGACGACAAGATGTAGCCTTCCAGCACAGTCACACTCGCATTAACACCAGTTGCATGTGCAACCAAAATATTCGCAACAGCTGCACTCACCTGTGTGGGTTTGTCCCTCTCTGCTGTGAAAGTGTTGTCTCCAGTGGACGACAAGATGTAGCCTTCCAGCACAGTCACACTCGCATTAACACCAGTTGCATGTGCAACCAAAACATTCGCAACAGCTGCACTCACCTGTGTGGGTTTGTCCCTCTCTGCTGTGAAAGTGTTGTCTCCAGTGGACGACAAGATGTAGCCTTCCAGCACAGTCACACTCGCATTAACACCAGTTGCATGTGCAACCAAAACATTCCCAACAGCTGCACTCACCTGTGTGGGTTTGTCCCTCTCTGCTGTGAAAGTGTTGTCTCCAGTGGACGACAAGATGTAGCCTTCCAGCACAGTCACACTCGCATTAACACCAGTTGCATGTGCAACCAAAACATTCGCAACAGCTGCACTCACCTGTGTGGGTTTGGCCTTCTCTGCTGCAAAAGAGTTGTCTCGAGCGGACGAGAAGATAAGAAGATGTCTCCCTCCTGCACACTACAGTCTTACCAATACCGACACACAGCAGTCACAGATGGTGTGTAGAGTCATACTCACCGGTGTGGGTTTGACTCTCTCTGCTGTGAAAGAGTTGTCTCCAGTGGACGACAAGATGTACCCTTCCTGCATAGGCACATCCGCAACAGTCACATTTGCAACAGTCAGATTCGCAACAGTAACATTAGCAACATCACATTCGTGACAATCACATGTGCACAGTTACACGTGAAAACAACACAGTCACTCAACGGTCCCAAAGCACCTCCACGGTACCTTCTTCAGCTCCACGTGATAACTTGCATCATCATACAGCGGGCCCAAAACAACCTCCTCTGTGATCTCCTCCCTCTGATGTACCCTACTCAGTGCTAACCCACCGTACTCAGCTCCACGTGGTAATGTGCATCATCATACAGCGGACCCAGAACAACAAATTCTGTATCACCCTCCCTCCCCCAAGCCACCAACATCGTACGGTCACTCAACCATCCCAATGCACTTCCACGGTACCTTATTCAGCTCCACGTGATAAGTTGCATCGTCGTACAGCGGACCCAGAACAACCACCTCTGTATCATCCTCCCTTCCCAACCCAAGCCACTGACACAAAACAGCCACTCAACCATCCCAATGCACCTCCACTGTAACCCACCTGACTCAGTTCCACGTGGTAGCTTGCATCGTCACCGCCTCTGTATCTCCTGTATCTCTAGCGTTGAGACCTCTCAAAGCACTCCTGCCGTACCTTATTCAGTTCCACGTGGTAGCTTGCATCGTCGTACAGCGGACCCAGCACAACCTCCTCTGTATCTCCTGTATCTCTAGCGTTGAGACCTCTCAAAGCACTCCTGCCGTACCTTATTCAGTTCCACGTGGTAGCTTGCATCGTCGTACAGCGGACCCAGCACAACCTCCTCTGTATCTCCTGTATCTCTAGCGTTGAGACCTCTCAAAGCACTCCTGCCGTACCTTATTCAGTTCCACGTGGTAGCTTGCATCGTCGTACAGCGGACCCAGCACAACCGCCTCTGTATCATCCTCCCCCTCCATCCCCGCCCCTGCTACTCTCCCCTCCTCCCCATCACTCTCCCCCAAATCCCTCCTCCCCTTTTCTACTCCGTGCCACCCCTCTGTCAACCGCCATCCCACCAACTCCCCTGCCTTCCAACCCCCTGCGTCGCTTGCTGAGTCAGCAACCACTGAGACGTTGACACCTGGCAGCGCGGGAGTGATTCTTGCTGTGAGGAAGACACCTGGACGGGCATAGACTGGAGGGAGGCGCGACGGGCATGTGAAGGGCTCGACTCTCACCTGGAGAGGAAGAGGGAGGGAGTAAGGGGATTTACAAGGGGTGGGGATGGATTTGAATGGGTGCTGTGGGGATTGAGTTGGGCCGTGTGAAACATGCCTGGGCGGGCATAGAGTGGCAGGAGGGGCGGAGGGCACCTGAAGGGCTCGACAGTTACCTGGGGAGGGGGGTGTAGCAAGGGGATTAAGAGGGGTGGGGTGAGATTTGAAGGAGTGGGGTAAGATTGAGTTGGGCTGTGACGAAGACACCTGGGCGGGCATAGATTCGCGGGAGGGGCGTAGGGCATGTGAAGGGCTTGACACTCACCTGAAGAGGAGATTGGAAGGGGTGGGGAAGGGATCGAAAGGGGTGGGGAGGGGTTTGGAAGGGGTGTGGTAGAAGGACAACTGAATTTGCACCCTGTTCAGAACTTGCAGCACAGAGGGAAAAGGTGCTAAGAACTTTCAGAGTCAACAAAGATAAGCTGAAAAGAGTTGGCAAGGGGAGGAGGACGTAAATAAACGTACAGAGACGTAAATAAACGTACAGAGACGTAAATAAACGTACAGAGACGTAAATAAACGTACAGAGACGTAAATAAACATACAGAGACGTAAATAAACGCACAGAGACATAAATAAACGTACAGAGACGTAAATAAACGTTCGGAGGCGTAAAGAAACGTAAAGAGACTTAATAAACGCACAGTGACGTAAATAAACGTACTGAGACGTAAATAAACGTACAGAGACGTAAATAAACTTACAGAGACGTAAATAAACGTACAGAGACGTAAATAAACGTACAGAGACGTAAATAAACGGAGAGAGGCGTAAATAAACGTACCGAGACATAAATAAACGTACAGAGACGTAAATAAACGTACAGAGACGTAAATGGACATACAGAGACGTAAATAAACGTACAGAGACGTAAATAAACGTACAGAGACGTAAAAAAACGTACTGAGACGTAAATAAACGTACAGAGGCGTAAATAAACGTACAGAGACGTAAATAAACGTACAGAGACGTAAATAAACGTACAGAGACGTAAACGAACGTACAGAGACGTAAATAAACGTACAGAGACGTAAATAAACGTACAGAGACGTAAACAAACGTACAGAGACGTAAATAAACGTACAGAGACGTAAATAAACGTACTGAGACGTAAATAAACGTACAGAGACGTAAATAAACGTACTGAGACGTAAATAAACGTACACAGGCGTAAATAAACGTACTGAGACGTAAATAAACGTACAGAGACGTAAATAAACGTACAGAGACGTAAATTAACGTACAGAGACGAAAATAAACGTACTGAGACGTAAATAAACATACTGAGACGTAAATAAACGTACAGAGACGTAAATAAACGTACTGAGACGTAAATAAACGTACAGAGACGTAAATAAACGTACTGAGACGTAAATAAACGTACTGAGACGTAAATAAACGTACTGAGACGTAAACAAACGTACAGAGGCGTAAATAAACGTACAGAGACGTAAATAAACGTACAGAGACGTAAATAAACGTACAGAGACGTAAAACAACGTCCAAAGACGTTAAGAAACGTAGAGAGGCGTAAGTAAACGTGCAGAGATGTGAAGAAACGTACATGGGCGTAACATAAACATATTAGAGACATAAACAAACAGAAAGACACGTAAAGATATGTGCAGGAACGTACCGAAATGCGAGGCACCTCTATTGCACTTACAGGAATGGCTGAAGGGTAAAAGAGGGGCCGTAGGGTTGGTGGCAGGGGAAGGTGCCATCTGGGGAAGGTGCTATCTATCTGGAAGAAGAGACCTCTATTGCACTTACAGGAATGGCTGAAGGGTAAAAGAGGAGCCGTGGGGTTGGTGGCAGGGGAAGGTGTCATCTGGGGAAGGTGCTTTTAGGGAATAAAAGAGACCTCTATTGCACTTACAGGAATGGCTGAAGGGTAAAACAAGAGCCGCGGGGTTGGTGGGTAGGGGAAGGTGCCACCTGGGGAAGGTGCTATCTGGGAATGTAAGAGACCTCTATTGCACTTACAGGGATGGCTGAAGGGTAAAAGAGGAGCCGCGGGGTTGGTGGGTAGGGGAAGGTGCCATCTGGGGAAGGGTTTTCTTTGGAATTCTCGGACCTGTCGGTTGGAGAGCTGGGGAGAGGCACGGGGCGGGCAGAGAAGGCATGAGGGGTGATGCATGATCAAAAGGAGGTGCCATCTGGGGAAGGTTTTTCTTTGGAATTATCGGATCTGTAGGTTGGAGCACTGGGGAGAGGCACGGGGCGGGTGGAGGAGGGAAAACAGCGGGAGGTGGAGGGCAAGCGGCGGGAGGTGGAGGGCAAACGGCGGGAGGTGGAGGGCAAACGGCGGGAGGTGGAGGGCAAACGGCGGGAGGTGGAGGGCAAACGGCGGGAGGTGGAGGGCAAACGGCGGGAGGTGGAGGGCAAACGGCGGGAGGTGGAGGGCAAACGGCGGGAGGTGGAGGGCAAACGGCGGGAGGTGGAGGGCAAACGGCGGGAGGTGGAGGGCAAACGGCGGGAGGTGGAGGGCAAACGGCGGGAGGTGGAGGGCAAACGGCGGGAGGTGGAGGGCAAACGGCGGGAGGTGGAGGGCAAACGGCGGGAGGTGGAGGGCAAACGGCGGGAGGTGTAGGGCAAACGGCGGGAGGTGGAGGGCAAACGGCGGGAGGTGGAGGGCAAGCGGCGGGAGGTGGAGGGCAAGCGGCGGGAGGTGGAGGGCAAGCGGCGGGAGGTGGAGGGCAAACGGCGGGAGGTGGAGGGCAAACGGCGGGAGGTGGAGGGCAAACGGCGGGAGGTGGAGGGCAAACGGCGGGAGGTGGAGGGAAAACGGCGGGAGGTGGAGGGCAAACGGCGGGAGGTGGAGGGCAAACGGCGGGAGGTGGAGGGCAAACGGCGGGAGGTGGAGGGCAAACGGCGGGAGGTGGAGGGCAAACGGCGGGAGGTGGAGGGCAAACGGCGGGAGGTGGAGGGCAAACGGCGGGAGGTGGAGGGCAAACGGCGGGAGGTGGAGGGCAAACAGTGGGAGGAGGAGGGCAAACGGTGGGAGGAGGAGGGCAAACGGCGGGAGGTGGAGGGCAAACGGCGGGAGGTGGAGGGCAAACGGTGGGAGGAAAAAACGAATCAGTGGGGAGATGCAATGCATCACAGAATCATGGTTTGACATGCACCAAAGGAAAGGCCACAATGTGACACTCACTCATAGACTCCTCAACCACTTGACCTACCTGACTCACTCACTCACTCGCTCTCACATGCACTCGCTCACGCCCACACTCTCACTTGCACTCAGGCTCACTCATAGACTCCTCTCCAAGAATCAACCGCTTGACCTATCTGATTCGCTCACTCTCACTCACACGCACACTCACTCACACTCGCACACACACTCACTCACACTCGCACACACATTCACTCACACTCGCACACACATTCACTCACACTCGCACACACATTCACTCACACTCGCACACACATTCACTCACACTCGCACACACATTCACTCACTCGCACACACATTCACTCACACTCGCACACACATTCACTCACACTCGCACACACATTCACTCACACTCACACTCTGGCTCACTCGCCCCGTAGACTCACGCCCACGTCACTCAACCACTCAACCTATCTGACTCACTCACTCTCACTCCCACCGTCACTCCACCACTCAACCTATCTGACTCACTCACTCTCACTCCCACCGTCACTCAACCACTCAATCTATCTGGCTCACTCACTCTCACTCCCACCGTCACTCATGCTCACACCCACACACACAGTCACTCACACTCTCACTCGCACGCACACTCACCCTGTCGACTCACTTAGACTCACACAACAATCTCACCCTATGGACTCACACCCGCACTCACTCACCCTATGGACTCACACTCATACTCACACTCACCTTGCAGACGAAATCCCTGCTTCCAAGTTTCCCTCGCCAAATTCTTGTCCCCCCTGCACTTCCTGCTCCCACCCCTCCCCTAAATCCACCTCCCTAATATCCACCTCCCCTGCTTCCACCTCCCCAGCATTAACATCAGCAGCAGCACCATCACTAGCAGCAGCACTAGCAGCAGCACTAGCAGCACCATCAGCAGTGGATGAGAGTGTGAGAGGTGCGGATGGGAAGCCGGAGTGGTGGAGAGAGAGCACGAGACTGGCGTGTGGTTCAAGCCAATAGGACTGCACGGCATAGGGAAGAAAAGGAGAAGAGAGGAGTGGGCGGCAAGGAAGCAGAGGCACGATAAGGATGATGAGCACTGGAGTGGATTGCCACGTGATTGAAGAAGTGTTTTGAGACACTGGAGATGAAACACGTGATTGAAGAAGTGTTTTGAGACACTGGAGACGAAACACGTGGGCGTCTCAAAACACTTCTTCAATCAAGCAGTGGAGTGGATTGCCACAGGATCCTCCGAGGATGGTGGGTGTTTTTGAGACGCCTCAAAAATACCCTCAACACACATGAGCAGTTGAGTGAATTGCCACAGGATCCTCCCTGGATGGTGGGCAGCGCACTGAGGGAGCCGTAACTAGCATTCTCACTCCACCACTCCTCACCACTGATCACCATCCCTCACCGCGCCTCACCTGCTCGTAGATTGCAACAGGATCCTCCCTGGATGGTGGGCGGCGCACTGAGGGAGAGACGTAACCGGGTAATTGATAACCAGGTAATAGACGTAACCGTCATATGACAGTGGTGTGGGTGATCATCACGCCTCACCACTGCTCACCATGCCTCACCATTCCTCACCGTGCCTCACCTGCTTGTAGATTGCCACAGAGTCCTCCTTGGACGGTGGGCAGCGCACTGAGCTGAGAGAGAGCCGTAGCTGTCAGTCACTCCCACCGCCATTCCCACTGATGCGCGCGACGATGGTTGCTTCAAGAGAAAGGTGGGTGAACGAGCAGTAACAAATGTGCCCACATACAACAACGGTGTGGGTGCTCACCACTGCTCACCACTGCCCACCACTGCTCACCACTGCCCACCACTGCTCACCACTGCCCACCACTGCCCACCACTGTTCACCACTGCTCACCACTGCCCACCACTGTCCCCAATGCCTCACCTGCTCATAGATAGCTACAGGGTCTTCCTTAAATGGTGGGCGGTGCACTGAGAGAGTGCCGTAGCTGTCAGTCGCTCCCACCGCCATTCCCACTGATGCGCGCGTTGATGGTTGCCTCACCGCCCCTCACCACCCCTCACCTTGCCCCACCATGCCTCACCATGCCCCACCATGCCTCACCATGCCCCACCATGCCTCACCTGCTCATAAATTGCCAGAGGGTCCTCCCTGGATGGTGGGCGGCGCACTGAGAGAGAGCCGTAGCTGTCACCCCCACCGCCATTCCCACTGATGCGCGCGACAATGCTTGCTTCGAGAGAAAGGTGGGAGAGCGATGGCGGGAGGAGGGAGGTGTTGAGGAAAACGGGGCCAGAGACTCGATAGGCCGTGGGAGTCAGGATGATGGGCTGCAGCAGACAGAGGGGAGAGAGAGGAGAAAGAGAGAGAAAGAGAGAGAAAGAGTATAACAGGGACGTGTTGAGGAAAACGGGGCCAGAGACTCGGTAGGCTGTGGGAGTCAGGAAGATGGGCTGCAGGAGAAAGGGGGGAGGTGGGAGAAACATGAAGACATGAAGGGGAGAAACATGAAGACACGAAGGGGAGAAACATGAAGACACGAAGGGGAGAAACATGAAGACACGAAGGGGAGAAACATGAAGACACGAAGGGGAGAAACATGAAGACACGAAGGGGAGAAACATGAAGACATGAAGGGGAGAAACATGAAGACACGAAGGGGAGAAACATGAAGACACGAAGGGGAGAAACATGAAGACACGAAGGGGAGAAACATGAAGACACGAAGGGGAGAAACATGAAGACACGAAGGGGAGAAACATGAAGACACGAAGGGGAGAAACATGAAGACACGAAGGGGAGAAACATGAAGACACGAAGGGGAGAAACATGAAGACACGAAGGGGAGAAACATGAAGACACGAAGGGGAGAAACATGAAGACACGAAGGGGAGAAACATGAAGACACGAAGGGGAGAAACATGAAGACACGAAGGGGAGAAACATGAAGACACGAAGGGGAGAAACATGAAGACACGAAGGGGAGAAACATGAAGACACGAAGGGGAGAAACATGAAGACACGAAGGGGAGAAACATGAAGACACGAAGGGGAGAAACATGAAGACACGAAGGGGAGAAACATGAAGACACGAAGGGGAGAAACATGAAGAGGAGGGAGGTGTTGAGGAGGACAGGGCCGGACACGCGGTAGGCTGTAGGGGTCAGGAAGATGGGCTGCAGGAGAAAGGGGGAAGAAACATGACGAGGAGGGAGGTGTTGAGGAGGACAGGGCCGGACACACGGTAGGCCATGGGAATCAGGCGAATGGGCTGCAGAGGGGGGCAGAGAAAGGGGGGAGTAAGAGCAGGGAAAAAAAAAAAAAAAAAAAAAAAAAAAACAGAAGAAAGTGCAGACAGGGAGGCGTTGAGGAAGACAGGGCTGGATAGGCAGTAGGCCGTGGGAGTCAGGAGGATAGGCAGTAGGCCGAGGGAGTCAGGAGGATAGGCAGTAGGCCGTGGGAGTCAGGAGGATAGGCAGTAGGCCGTGGGAGTCAGGAGGATAGGCAGTAGGCCGTGGGAGTCAGGAGGATAGGCAGTAGGCCGTGGGAGTCAGGAGGATAGGCAGTAGGCCGTGGGAGTCAGGAGGATAGGCAGTAGGCCGTGGGAGTCAGGAGGATAGGCAGTAGGCCGTGGGAGTCAGGAGGATAGGCAGTAGGCCGTGGGAGTCAGGAGGATAGGCAGTAGGCCGTGGGAGTCAGGAGGACAGGCAGTAGGCCGTGGGAGTCAGGAGGATAGGCAGTAGGCCGTGGGAGTCAGGAGGATAGGCAGTAGGCCGTGGGAGTCAGGAGGATAGGCAGTAGGCCGTGGGAGTCAGGAGGATAGGCAGTAGGCCGTGGGAGTCAGGAGGATAGGCAGTAGGCCGTGGGAGTCAGGAGGATAGGCAGTAGGCCGTGGGAGTCAGGAGGATAGGCAGTAGGCCGTGGGAGTCAGGAGGATAGGCAGTAGGCCGTGGGAGTCAGGAGGATAGGCAGTAGGCCGTGGGAGTCAGGAGGATAGGCAGTAGGCCGTGGGAGTCAGGAGGACAGGCAGTAGGCCGTGGGTGTGGAAGGAGAAAGAGAGAGCCACGTAGTAGGCACAGGCGTGGGACATGGCGAGGGTGGCGCCTATGCAAACAGAAGAGAGAACATCTGAGGAAGGACGGGAATACCTGGGGCTGGCGCGTGTGGAAGGAGAAAGACAGAGCCCCGTAGTAGGCACAGGCGTGGGACATGGCGAGGGTGTACTCTCCTGGGGACTCCACACAGAACTCCTGCACTCCAGGCTGCAGAGCGGTGGAGAAAGGTGGAGTGGGGTGAAGAAGGGTGGAGAGGGGTGACGAGGGGTATGGCAGGTTAAGTGGAGACTGTGACATGGCGAGGGTGTATTCTCCTCGTAACTCCACACAGAACTCCTGCACTCCAGGCTGCAAAGCGGTGGACAGGGTTGTAAAGGGGTGGGGTTACCAATAAGATGAAATGAGTGGAGTGGTGGTCGTCACAAGTCAATGTGATGTGAACCTGTTCTCCACTGCTGCCCTCTCACTATGTTTGGGAACACTTTCAGTCACCACACTACGCCGCGTTGCGCTGCACTACACCACACTATGCCACAGTGTGAGACCAACAGCTGCTCTCACCGACACAAAGAAGCCAGTGGGATCATAGTCGCCGTGAGTCAGCATGAACCTGTCATCCATTGCGGCCCGCACCACCTTGTTATCATTCTCCCCCAATGGCACCACACACTCACCGACACAGAGAAGCCAGTGGGGTCATAGTCGCCGTGAGTCAGTGTGAGCCTTCTGAGTTGACTCAAAAGACAGCGTGAACCAGCCCTCCACGGCAACCGTCTATGTGCGTGCCATTCAGAGTGGTTCACAAAGAAGTCACTCAGCCGCCACACTATGAGCCAACAGCTGCGCTGCTGCCACCGAGACAGAGAAGTCAGTGGGGTCATAGTTGCCTGTGGGTCGTAGTCCCTGTGGGTCAACGTGAATCTGTCCTCGTTGACTTTTGAGTCGACTCTGAAGTCAGCCCTGTGGGTCAACGTAAATCTGTCGTCCATGGCTGCTCGCACCACCATGCGCCACCCACTCTCTCTCCCCCTGTGGAAAACCCCCTCCAGCCACCTACCTATCTCTATGGACCATCGTATGGAGTGGTGCCATGCTCTCACCGACACAGACAAGTCAGTGGGGTCATAGTCGCCGTGGGTCAGTGTGAATCTGTCGTCCATGGACCATGGCTGCCCAAACCACCATGCGCCACCCCTCTCTCTCTCTCTTGACACTTCAATACAACCTCAACGCCTGCTCTTGCCATTGCTGCATGCTCTTATCTTACCGAGACAGAGAAGTCAGCGGGGTCATGGTCTCCGTGAGTCAACGTGAATCTGTCCTCCATGGCTGACCCCCCTCTGCGTGTGAAAGCAGGTTCAGACACCACACTATACCTCACTACGCCACACTATACCACAGTATTACCATACCAACAGCCGCACTCACAGACACAGACAAGTCAGTGGGGTCATAGTCCCCGTGATTCAGAGTAAACCTGTCATCCATGGCTGCCCGCACCACCATGCGTTACCACTGTTGTGTGCAATGCTGTAACGCCACGCCTCCAAGTAGTGCACCTACCGACACAGACAAGTCAGTGGGGTCATAGTCCCCGTGATTCGAAGTGAACCTGTCCTCCATGGCTGCCCGCACCACCATGCTACCAGTCTCCCCCTATGGCACCACACACTCACAGACACAGAGAAGTCAGTAGGGTCATACTCCCCGTGAGTCAACGTGAATCTGTCATACATTGCTGACCCGCTCTGCGTGTGAAAGCAGGTTTGGAAACCACACAATACCTCACTACGCCACACTATACCACAGTATTACCATACCAACAGCCGCACCTACCGAGACAGAGAAGTCAGTGGGGTCATATTCCCCGTGAGTCAACGTGAACCTGTCGTCCATTGCCGCCCGCACCACCATACGCCACCCGCGCTGCGCCAGCTGTACGTTCGTCACGGGCGAATCAAACACCGCCACGTCAGTGCGGCCCTCCTCCTCCCAGCACCACTCGTCGCTCTGCAGAGCGGTGGCAGTGGCGGGAGTCTTACGAGCCTTTTGTGTGGAGGGAAAGGGGGGAGTGGGAGGGGGGACGAAGTGGGGGATGGGAGCATTTTGTTGACGTGCGTACTCCTCCCAGCACCACTCGCCGTGCTGCAAGGCAGTGGCATTATTGCTGGGAGCTGCATCGGCCTGCATGGGGTGGGGAGGGATAGTGGAAGATAGAGGACAGGAGAGAAGCGGAAAGGGGCAAAACGAGATGAGAGGGGGAAGCAAAACGTAAGAATGGCAAGAAGAGAGCTCGTTAGAGTATCCTCCGGTGGCCTGGCCAACCCACCTCGATTCGGTACGACCCAGGCAGCAATCTGTCAAAGAAGAACGATCTGCCCCCAATGCTGTGCCCCTCTCTTCACTGCCCCGCTACTACCTACCGTCCCCTTCCCCTCTGGTCTCCCCTGTGAAACACACCTCTCCAATCAATGACACATTGACATGCCCCACTCACCTCAATTCGGTATGACCCAGGCAGCAGACGGTCAAAGAAGAATGATCCGACCGTCCCTTTCTCCTCCACCACAACTGCACTCCTCCCCTTCCCCTCCCCTCTCTCATTTACCTTCCTTCTCCCCTTCGCCTTTCCCCACTGACCTTCCGCCTTCCCCCCTGCCTCCCCCTCCCCTCCTCCCACTACCACCCGTTGTAAAAACGTGCCCTGCTGCTGCTCCGTCTCTCCATCTGCCCGTTCATCTGCCCCATTGTCTGTGAGAGCCCAGAGTGTGACTGAAACGGTTGAGTCACACCCCTGCAGGCACCGCACCTTGCCTGATATGAACAGGTGTGACTGTAATGGGGATGGGTGGGGAAAATGGAACAGGTGTGACTAACAGTAGTGACTGTAAGGTTTGTTACAATACAGATGGATACGAAACGATACGATGTGATACAATATGATGCGGTACATTATGATACGATTCAATATAGTACGATATGGTCCGATACGATACGATATCATATGATATATAAATCGTAAAATCAGGGTGTAGTCATGTTGCATACCTGTTTGAAGACTATGTTTGTGACGGGGGCAGATGTGACAGTAACGGATTCCTCTATAGAGGGGGAGAAGACCAGCCCTGCTGCCACCTCATCTGGGCTAATCTCAGGCACCAATTGGTAGCTGCCACGTGGCACCTGGGGGCAGCAGGAGAGAGTAGGAGTTGGGTCAACAGTAAAATGGAGTGGGATGGGGGAGAGGGGGAAGAAAGGAGGGGAGGAGGGAGGGGAAGGGAGAGAGTAGGGCAGGAAAGTGCTAAGGAACTTTCTGTTGCACCTAGAATCAGCCCCAAGTAAACAAGCTGCCACGTAATTGCCAACACAACAAGCTGACTTTTGAGTCGACTCAAAAGTCACCTAGCTGCCGCGTAATTGCCAACACACCAAGCTCTCCCCCAAAAAATGCATCGGACAAAAAACAATGGAACCTCTTTTGAGGATCTCCCATGTCTTACGACCAATTTGCACTCCATCCTCAGGTATCGCCTAGAGTCACCCATCTCCACCCATCTCCACCCATCTCCACCCATCCCCACCCATCTCCACCCATCTCCACTCATCTCCACCCATCTCCACCCATCTCCACCCATCTCCACCCATCTCCACTCATCTCCACCCATCTCCACTCATCTCTCCATGCACCCTATTCTCCACTCACTCATCTCTCCTCTCACCCACTTCCATACACCCCACCTACCATGAAGCAGAACCGCCCATCTTTGTCCGCCTCTGCAATCACCGGAGCCACACTCCTGCCCGCCTCCTGCCTACAGCCACTCACCGCCACTCACCACTGCTCACCACCGCTCACCAACACCCACCATGAAGCAGAACCGGCCGTCTTTGTATGCCTCTGCAATCACCGGAGCCACACTCCTGCCCGCCTCCTGCCTACAGCCACTCACCGCCACTCACCACTGCTCACCACCGCTCACCAACACCCACCATGAAGCAGAACCGGCCGTCTTTGTATGCCTCTGCAATCACCGGAGCCACACTCCTGCCCGCCTCCTGCCTACAGCCACTCACCGCCACTCACCACTGCTCACCACCGCTCACCAACACCCACCATGAAGCAGAACCGGCCGTCTTTGTATGCCTCTGCAATCACCGGAGCCACACTCCTGCCCGCCTCCTGCCTACAGCCACTCACCGCCACTCACCACTGCTCACCACCGCTCACCAACACCCACCATGAAGCAGAACCGGCCGTCTTTGTATGCCTCTGCAATCACCGGAGCCACACTCCTGCTCGCTTCCTGCCTGCTCAATTGCTCACCCCATTCTCTCCCCGCTCACACTCGTTTCCAATCCAGATCAAACCACCCACCCACCCCACCCACCCCACCCCACCCCACCCCACCCCACCCCACCCACCATGAAGCAGAACCGGCCATCCTTGTCCGCCTCTGCAATCACTGGAGCCACACTCCTGCTCGCTTCCTGCCTTCTCAACCCCTTGTTGCTGCTGCTGCTGCCACTGCTCCTGCTGCTGCTGCCCCTGCTAATTCCTCCTGAACTCATGCTGCTGATAGCCCCCCAGCTGGGGTCCTGAGAACCGTCCATGTGAGACCCGTCGAAATCGCCAGCTCGGCTTAGCTCCACCCGCCGCCACGGCACAAAGGACGACTCGCCGACCGGGTCCATCTCCACGCGCCCGCACAGCGCATACCGGGTGGCACGGATGGGCGGCAGGGAAATGGCAGTTAGCGCGGCAGCTTCTGTTTCGCTTGCATCGGTGGTGGCTTTGGCATCATCAGTAGCAGCAGTGGCGGTAGCAGGAGCAGGAGGGAGGGTGATGTTTGAAAGGGTTGGGAAGACATAGAGGGGTCGGACTGCTGATATGGTGTGAGTGGTGGGGAGAGGTGGGGAAGGAGGGGGCGGAGTGGGAGGAGTGGGAGGCGGGATGGGTGTTGCAGAGGGGGGGTGGTGGAGGGGTGCAGATGAGAGGAGGGAGGTGGGGAATGTGAAGGAATAGTCGCCCTGCAGAGAAGGGAAAAGGGTTGCGGAGAGGAGAGGAGAGGGAGGCAAAGAGGAGAGCGGGCAAGGATATTGGCATGAAAGCTGGGAGTGCAAGGAAAAGGAATCAGGTGGTACACAGCATGAGGTGCAATCACAATAGGGTTACACAGCATCAGGTGCAATCACAATAGGGTTACACAGCAACAGGTGCAATCACAATAGGGTTACACAGCAGCAACCCTGTAGCAACCGTAACACAGTAACACCTTGTGACACTCACACTCACTATAGCCTTGCACAAAGGCCATTGTCGCATTGCCACACCCATTCTGCGCACCTTGTGACACTCACACTCACCATACCAGAGCGTAGTCACAGCCTCTGAGAGCCCATCCAGCATCACAGTCGCCCTATCCTCCACCCCAGGGCCTACTCCCCCCCCCCATCATCCTCTCACCACAACAGCCGCCACTACCACCAATAGCCCACAAGAGCATCAGTGACATACACGAATAGCCCATCCAGCATCACAGTCGCCCCCTCCACCCCACAGCCTTCCCCATCCTCCACCCGCTGAAACACCTACAACACCCCCTAGCCAAAGGGAGCACCAGCACCAATAACTCACCATAGGATCAGTGACAGCCCATTCAGCATCACTCACTGTCGCCCCCTCCACCCCACGGCCCTCCCCATCCTCCTCCAATACACCATAACATCAAAGAGGGCACCTACAGCACCTCTAATCAGAGGGAGAACTGGCATTAGCAACTCACCAGAGCGCCTGTCACAGCCGCTGAAAGCCCATCCAGCATCACTGTCGCTCCCTCCACAACCTGCCTCTGTGACACTACCTATAACACCCCTAGCCACCGGTAGCACTAGCAACTCACCAGAGCGTCTGTCACAGCCACTGAAAGCCCATCCACCATCACTGCTGCCCCCTCCACCCACGACCTACTCTCCCCATGCTCCACCCACTTGACAAGTCCTAATAGGCTACCGCACTAGCAACTCACCAGAGCGTCTGTCACAGCCACTGAAAGCCCATCCACCATCACTGTCGCCCCCTCCACCCCACGGCCCTCCCCGTCCTCGACTCTGCCACTGCCTGTCACCAAAGCAGTTTCCAGCTGGGAAAAGGTGGAGGGGAAGAGGGTGAAAGGGCGGAGAGGGAAAAGAATTGAGCAGCCGTGAGAGCCCGTCCAGCAGCACTGTCGCTCCCTCCACCCCACGGCCCTCCACGTCCTCGACTCTGCCACTGCCTGTCACCAAAGCAGTATCCAGCTGGGAAATGGTGGAGGGGAAGAGGGTGGTAGAAGGATGGGTTAGGGACGGAGAGGTGCGGTGGTGCTATTTTTGAGGCGCCACAAAAATAGACTTCTCCACCGGCACTCTGGAGCTTGCACTGCTGCGAGTGGCTGCTACCTTTGAGGCGCCTCTAAAGTCCACCCCACCTCCACCGGCACTCTAGCGCTTGCACTGCTGCGTGTGGTTGACTTGACTTGACAGGAGAGAGGCCAGGCAGCAATGAGAGGCAGCAATGAGAGGCAGCAAGGGCGTACCTGGTCGTGAGCAGCAAGGGCGTACCTGGTCGTGAGCAGCAAGGGCGTACCTGGTCGTGAGCAGCAAGGGCGTACCTGGTCGTGAGCAGCAAGGGCGTACCTGGTCGTGAGCAGCAAGGGCGTACCTGGTTGTGAGCAGCAAGGGCGTACCTGGTCGTGAGCAGCAAGGGCGTACCTGGTCCTGAGCAGCAAGGGCGTACCTGGTCGTGAGCAGCAAGGGCGTACCTGGTCGTGAGCAGCAAGGGCGTACCTGGTCGTGAGCAGCAAGGGCGTACCTGGTCATGAGCAGCAAGGGCGTACCTGGTCGTGAGCAGCAAGGGCGTACCTGGTTGTGAGCAGCAAGGGCGTACCTGGTCGTGAGCAGCAAGGGCGTACCTGGTCGTGAGCAGCAAGGGCGTACCTGGTTGTGAGCAGCAAGGGCGTACCTGGTCGTGAGCAGCAAGGTCGTACCTGGTCGTGAGCAGCAAGGGCGTACCTGGTCGTGAGCAGCAAGGGCGTACCTGGTCGTGAGCAGCAGTGGGAGCGTAGCTGGCCCTCATCCTTGGAGCCCCATCCCACCTCCACCGGCACTCTGACACTAGGTGGGCGTGTTACGTAGTGACAACATGTGCACACCTGAGAGGCAGTGGGAGCGTAGCTGGCCACATAGAAGAGCGACCCCTCGTCCTTGGAGCCCCATCCCACCTCCACCGGCACTCTGACACTAGGTGGGCGTGTTACGTAGTGACAACATGTGCACACCTTAGAGGCAGTGGGAGCGTAGCTGGCCACATAGAAGAGCGGCCCCTCGTCCTTGGAGCCCCATCCCACCTCCACACGCACTGGGGCGCTTGCACTGGCACGTGTGGTCGACTGAGCAGATTCAGCGGTTTTTGAATCGAGTGTGCTTGTAGCGAGGGGCTGGATGGTCCACAGAGGGTGTGAGGCGGACAGCTCGTATGCTCCTGTTGTCGGCAATGGGTGGGTGGGTGGGTGGGCGGTCAAATCACAACCACAAACGCTACAAGCAGGAAGTGATCATAAGCCAACGCGGACAACACTGCTGCTGTGAAAACAAACCCCTTTGGTTGCTCTAAGGGCGTCCCACCCACCCAAACCCTTCCCCACCATGCATGACTCACCCACGGGAAGGCCTGTGAAGCTGAAAACACCACTGGCGTCTGTGACAGCCGTTGCTGCCACCTGCTGCTCTTGGAGCTGCTGCTGCTGTGACCCCCCCTCCTCTTTTCTATCACTGCCGCTACTGCTGCTGCTGCTTCCATTTGTTCCGGGAGCGGTTTGCAGGGTTACAACGATACCAGCAGGCCCTGTCAGGGGTGCTCCGCCTGCTGAGTCTGCTCCTGTTTCTGCTGAGCCTTTTCTTGCATCTGTTGCTGCTGGCGAGTGACTGAGTATGCGGCCTGAGATGCCAAACCTGCTCCAGGAGAAACAACAATGTCCTATTGCACTTTCAGGTAAAATCAACATGCTTATAGAGCGTGATAGCATACGCCGTCAAACCCTTCTAAGAAGTCTGAAAGGACTATCGTGAATGTTTCGATGGACCCACCCGTGAATGTGGAAATGTACGTCATTGCCCGCATTGCAGGAGATAGCATCAACAACCACCATCTGCATGATGTGATTGGGTGGATAATGCGATCAAGAGGATGCGAAGTTGGGGAGCGGTGGAGGAAAGACAACTTTGAGCCCACTCAAATGTCACCTCTTTGCAGGAGATGGCATCAACAACCACCATCTGCATGATGTGATTGGGTGGATGTGAGGATTGGAAAACTAGAAAAAGTTTTTGAAGAGATAAGGAGGAAATAAGAGGGGTGGGAATTAAGGAGAGAGGGGCTGAAATTGAGGAAATAGTGGCGGAAATTGAGGAAGAGATTGGGGATCGAAAACACAGGTGGGCACGGAACAGAAGGAAGTTACCTGGGGCGAGTGACCGAGTCTACAGACAAGCCATTTTTTTAGTCGACTCAAAAATAAACACAGGCGAGCACGGAATGGAATGGAATGGAATGGAATGGAATGGAATGGAATGGAACGGAATGGAATGGAATGGAATGGAAGTCACCTGGGGCGAGTGACCGAGTCTACAGACAAACCGTGGGGTAGGAACAGGTGGGGAGGAGGCAGCGGGGCACAGCTCGCGACAAAAGACAATCGAGCAAGGAAGGGAATAAGATGGGATTGAAAGATGCTCACCTTGGGCGAATCAACGGACCAGCCGGGAGGGGCACGTAGGGCGATGACGAAGGTCTCCTGAGAGGGGAGGACGAGGGGGAGGAGGAGGAAAGAGGGGAGGAAGGCGAGGCGGAAAGAGGAAGGAGGGTGGAGAAGAGGGGAGAGGGGGGTGGGTTAAGAGGAGAGAGAGCGGGAGCAAATGGGAAGGTGGGAGAGGGGAAGGGGAGATTGAGTGATGAAGCGAGTTCATGCGAAAGAAATCAAGTCAGCTTGAATGAGTTGAGAGTTCAGGTGGGAGGAGCTGGGAGGAGCTGGGAGTAGGTGGGAGGAGGTGGGGGGAGGTGGGAGGAAGTGGGAGAAGGTGGGAGGAGCTGGGAGGAGCTGGAAGGGCGATTGAGGAAAGAATATTGAACAACGTTTTTCAACAAGGGGAAGGGGATTTCAAGAGCAAAGTACTGGGACAGTGGGACAGAGGGAGGAGAAGATGGAGGGAGCCAGCAAAGGAGGGAGGGAGGGAGGGAAAAAAGCTGCGGATTCAGAGAAAAGCGCACCTGGAGGGAAGGAGGCATGAGAAAGTAGTAGCCATCCTCGTCACAGTGTGTCCTCTCATGCACAAAGCTGCCGCCATGGGACTGTAGCTCGACCTGTACCGTATTATATTAAAGATTCATCGCAAAAAAACTATATGAAATGAACAGAATATAAAAATTTGCTCATCACGACGTGTGTGATCAACACTATCATTTTGCATTCGATAAGGGCACACAGGCCATGATTTGCCATGCATAAATGCAGTGGACACGCAATCACCATGATGCGGGTGTAATCAACGCAATTTCTTCATGGTAGGGGTGTAATCAAGACATTACCATGACACGGGTGTAATCAAGACATTACCATGACACGGGTGTAATCAAGACATTACCATGACACAGGTGTAGTCAATACATTACCACGACACGGGTGTAGTCAATACATTACCATGATACGGGTGTAGTCAATACATTACCATGATACGGGTGTAGTCAATAGCCTCTGAGTTGCTCCCTTGCGGCAGTAGAGATGTCAGATGAGCACTTGGCTGCGATATGGTCACATCAAAGTCAAACCAGAATAACAAAATTCTCAAATAATGGTCACAGCCCATCATAATTAAATAAGCACAACCATATGACAACAGACGTGCCAACCCTGGGACTCACTGCCATGTGTCATTCACTGTCATATGCCATTCATTGTCATGTGTCCCTCATTCAGTGTCATGTGTATTGCCATGTGCCATTCAGTACCATGTGACATTCATTGCCATGTGTAACTCATTGCCACCCACGTGTCATTCATTGCCTTGTGTCATTCAATGACATGCATGTGCCATTCGTTGCCACGTGCCATTCATTACCATGTGTCATACATTATCTGTCATTCATTGCCACGTGTCATTCATTGCCATGCATCATCAAGTACCATGCGCCACGGCTTGTTATGTGCTTCTCATTGTCATGGATCATACACAATGGCATGCATGCTGTTGTGTCATGACCTGTGTCGGGTACCATGGCATGTGTGAGATGAGATGTCATCATGTGTGATTCGACAACATGCGCCTCACAGAATGACAGCAGGCGCCTCACTATACGACAGCACGCGCCTCACCACACGACAGCACACGCCTCACCTTGACAAACCCGCTGCAGCCCACCAGCACAGCCTCATCCCTCGCGTCCACTCTCATTGCAGCCCCCGTTAGAAGCACAGCTACGCATAGCGACCACAGAGCACGGCGCTGGTGACAACACTGCGTCAGCTTAAAGCGAAACATGACTGGTGGGGAGAGCCGACTGCTAGGATCCGAGATGATGCGAGCCAGACAACGGTGGTTGACGTGGCCTTCGCGATCCCTTTAAAGCCGACGCAAAATAGCACGCGGAAACGATGCTCTGACGCTTGTCGGTATCTGAGCTACTTCTTCTTGAAGCGGAAACGCAAACGAATGCCGCAACTGACGCTGTTACGAAAAGTTAGGTGCTTCAAACGACCGTGAGCAACTCGTTCTCAAGGTTCAATGTCACGGAGTACGGACAACGAAATCCCGTGGAGCTACGATTGCAAAGAACCAACTTACGAGATTCGGTTCTTTGGTTTGTGTACGGAAACCGAACTCCGAAAGCATTCATGGCGAAAATTTCACACGTTATGGAAAGCTATGAAGGGGCTCATATGCATCATATGGCTGGGATAGATCGTGTGCCTGGCACTAAAAGTTCATTGCCACAACCGGAAACGGAATATGAAAACGGGTGCTATTCATTTTCTAATGTACTTTACTCAGCTGCATCATCAATCCTGAATTGTCTGCACAAATCTCTGTTTGGAATGATGCATTTGTGTACAATCAAGCACATAATGAATCCCTGTTGCTAGAAGAAAGGATGGCATACAAAAAATGGTGTTTAGCACCAAGTAAAGAAATGTTTGGGGATGTGGTGGTTTAGCGCTAGAAGCTTGTCAAGTGAAGCGTCTAAGGTGCTTAAATGGTAGTACGATCCTCCTGCGAATGTTGCACAGCTGGATGCCCAGCTTAGTCCTGCCAGAATCAAAAGCCGAATGTTAGCTCTTCTGATGACATGTCGCCAGTATGGAGGTAACTATCCCAAAACTGAGTTACTCACCTTTGACTGGATGTTGTTGGACAGCCAGTCGAGACCCTCATAGAGACCTTCTCCTGAGGTAGCGCAAGTACTCTGGATGTACCTGAAATGAACGAAGGTGGTATGACAGTCAAGGCAAGAACTCAACACGACATTTCTCCGTGGATCAAACATAATGTCAACCAGATTCTCACGCGTAAAATAAGTTTTCAAAACAAATCAAAATCTCCTTAAGCGGCCACTCACCATTGACGCTGGCGCAATGAATGAAGACCAAGCTTATCGGTAATCTCTGCAGCGTTCATGGCATTCGGAAGATCCTGCTTGTTAGCGAACACAAGCAGCACCGCGTCTCGCAATTCGTCCTGAAAAAGGAGGCGGAGAAAGAGTCAGTACACAAACCAGGTCACCAGCACACTCGAAGAATTACAATAAGCGACAAAAGATTATGCTGACCTCGTTGAGCATTCTGTGCAACTCATCCCTGGCTTCCATCACACGATCCCTATCGTTGCTGTCGACAACGAAAATCAGACCTTGTGTGTTCTGGAAGTAATGCCTCCAAAGGGGACGGATCTGTACAACGAGGTAAAAGACAAAATTAGTCCAATCACGTAACGGACTAACAATTAAAGACCTAACTGCAATTTTTTTTTCTTACCTTGTCCTGACCTCCCACATCCCACACAGTGAAGCTGATGTTCTTGTATTCCACAGTTTCGACATTGAAACCTGGATTGGAACGAAGATAAGATCTCTTAACAAACTTATAGGTGTCTTAAGCGAGTCTGACAGTAGATCGACGAAGGACTGCAATCATACCAATGGTTGGAATGGTGGTCACGATCTCTCCCAGCTTCAGCTTGTACAGAATTGTCGTTTTACCAGCGGCATCTAGACCAACCATTAGAATACGCATGTCCCGTTTCCCAAAGAATCTCGCAAAGAGCTTCCCAAAGGACAAACCCATGGTGAACTGCCTTTAGGAAACGAGAGCTAGAGTGGTAATGAAAATTAACAAGATGGTGGGACTAATCTGAGATTCCTAACGAGAGGCTTGCTGGAGAGAATGAGCTATCAGTGGCCTTTTTGGTTCTGGAAACTGGATGGTTGGGTAGCAAAATGAATCCTTTTTCTCTACCAACCAGCTCTCGCACGGTGTTCTCAAGGCCAAACTTTCCCTCGCAAAGGCACGTCGCATGCCTCCCGCAAGACTTCGCTATTCGTCGCATCGGGCTGACCAAACCCAACTTTCCTCGCACGGTGGAGGCCGTCTGACGCGCAACGACTGGAATTCCCCCGCGCGAATCTGCTGCACCGTTCGGGACGCTGACAGGGCTCCTTCGTTGTGGGCGCGTAGGGCACGGTGGAGTCACCGAGATCCCTCCGTTGAGTTGATAATATCGAGTCATGTCAAGATAACTAGGTTGACAAACCCAGTTCTGTAGACAAGAATGATATAGATGATAAACAAACTGACTTAGAACCTTCGCGATTTGAATCATGTGCCAAAGCTGTATATTTAGTTCATAGGAGTTGAAATTATTTCATTGAATACTGTATCCGTTTGTTCACATCTTCTGTACTGTAAGGAAAATTCCTTTTTCTTACTTCGCATCCCTGCTCAACGCGTACATCACTGTAGCACCACAGTCAGCACCGTTACCACTCGCAACCCTCGCATCGACAATCCGCCCGCCACCTTCGCACATCACACCCCGACCTCACGGCTCGGCGGGTAACCCGCG